AATACATATTCTATATTAATACGTAGTAATAATTATATTTAAAATACATAGATGTCACAAATCTTTCTAAATAAATTTGGTATAAATCAAAAATCAAAATCAAAAAATCTATATCTATCTATCTATCTTCTATAACAAATACTAAAATAATTACCGTTAACGTAACCATTGTACATGTGTCGCTTTATCATAAAAAATTTTCCCTCCTAAACTATTTGTGACATCATTCTTTTTTTTTTTCTTCTTTTCTTTTCAAGGTAAAACTAATGTTTGAAAATGATCAATTAATTATTTAATTACATTTTTCTAAAAGATGACTAATTACACAATTTTCTATAGAGTAAAACTAAGGGGAGTGCTAAACGCAACCTGACTTTACTTAGCGCAGCCTCTATTCCACTCATTTATTAGATGTAGGGAGAAAATAACCATTTTATTTTTTTTCCTCTCAAGTAATCTCTAATAACAAGAGTGCATTAATTTAACTTAAAATACATTGAATTTGCAATGGGTAATGATTTTTACATTAGCCTCTTCGAATTTGTAAGAATCATACGAATCTATTATGTGTAGAATCAATAAAACCACTTTTCAACCTTCAAAAAAAAAACCACTTTTTAATATTTCGTTCAAATTGTATGAAATGATTGAGCCTATTTCGTGTGTCACCCAACTTCATCCGATTCGTGTTCATATTCATTAGATCTCGGAATATTGTTCGCTAATTGATTATGTGAGTAATTCGAATAAACAAAGGTATAAATTTTTGGAAATTAGGTGTGGAAGAAGGTGGAATGGAAAGCAGACAAAAATGTCGTGAAAATGATTTTAGCTTAGAAGGGTATTTATGGTATTTAGGAGGGGTGTATAGTAGTAACTAGAGGTTGCGTTTAGCAATCATGAAAACTAATTGTTGGATGGTCTCTCTCACATTTCTTTTTTCTCATACATAGATTTTTTAAAAAAATAAAAAAAAAACCAAACTATTTCATGCATTTTATTTGTGATGGTAGAATTTGGATTATTTTTCTCTTTTTATTAATTATTCAAATTTTCTATAATGAATAAATAACGAATGCTAATATTTGATTATTTTTATTATAACTATCGCTATGAAGTTGAGGAATATTTTTTTTTAAGCTTAATTAATCTACGAAAGGGATTGATCACGATTAGGTTACACACATACAAGTATTAACCTAGTCATCATCAATAATCATCAATAATCAATAATCAATTAACCTATACTAAAAGCGAATCTAAGATGACATTTGTCACGATGTCATTAATAATTTTCCCTCCTTTTTGCACTTTCCTTTTTTTTTTTTACCAAATTTAAATGACTTCCATTTTATAAGCTACAATAATACTTATTTCTATTTTGACAACATATCTAATCCAATCATACCAATTAATATTTTTTTTTAACATATATTCTATATACTTTAATCTTTTAGTTACAAGTATACAAACATATATTAAAAATAAGGTATTAAATATATCATTGTCCAAGATTATTATAATATTAAGGAGTATCAATTTTTTCCTCCAAGCTCCAACATTAATCGTTATGCAATGTGATTATTAAAATCAAAATAAAAACCGCTACTACTCACTATAAATACATTTTAAAAAAGTTGATTATGGAATACTAATTATCCTAAAGTAATATAAATCAACTAAATTTTCATTTAATGCCGGTCAAAGTGTGGCAACAAAAATATAAAGGACAAATGTATATGAGTTCATATACGGGTACTAACCTTTTTTTCCCTTTTTTTTTTTTGAAGACATATACGGGTACTAACCTAAGCGTATATTTTCGTTTTCTTATAAAACCTAATAGCTTCTAAATTTCTATTAATAAATTATTTTTTATAAAATTCAAAACAATAACCTTTACGCATTTGGTATAAATTAAAATTCAAGTTATTTTGTGACAAATATTTTTTTTGAATAAATTGTTAAATTAACGACCATTCTTTATTCCCCTCAAAAATAAAAATAAAAAATGAAAAAATAAATAAAAACCATTCTTTATAAATTTTTGTTGTATAGTTTAATTATAACCGTGCATGGCACGGGACTTAACCTAGTATATACTAAAAGACACACCAGCAATGACACGTGTCATTTTCTGGTGTGTCCTTTATTTTTTTTGAATAAATTTTTATTAAAGCAACAAATTTTATTTACAAAAATTCCCTACCTTTACACAATATAATAACTTAAAATAAAAAAGATTTGACATATCTTTAACACAAATATTTATATAGCTATAAAAACACATTCTTAACATAATTTTGCTCATTTTCTACCTCATTAATATCAAACATATCTTTCGTAATCCTTTATTTTCCTCAAAATTTGTCAATTATATTTTTAGAATTTATTTTGTTTATAAAAACTAATTATAATGATAGTTTAATAATGATTATTGATGATTACCGTGCATGGCACGAGAACTAACCTAATATATACTAAAAGACACGCCAACATTTACACTTGTCATATTTGGGTGTGTCTTTAGTTATGCTTCTTATTTTTAAAAAAAATCTATTAATTAAGGAAACAAAAATTTTACAAAAATAATATTTTTTATACATATTTCATATTAACACGTAGTAATAATTATATTTAAAATACAAAGATGTCATAAATCTTTTTAAATAAATTTGGTATAAACCAAAAATCAAAATAAAAAAATCTATCTATCTTCTATAACTAATACTAAAGGCCTGTTCACATTTACTGAACTGAGCTGAACTGAACTGAACTGAACTGATTCGAGCTGAACTGAACTGGACAGAACTGAACTGAACTGAATTAAATTGAGCTGAAATAAATATTTTATGAGAGAGCGAGGGAAATTAAGAGCTGAACTGAACTGAACTGATTGGAGCTGACCTGAACTGAACTGATTGGAGCTGAACTGAACTGAACTGAACTGATTGGAGCTGAACTGAACTGAACTGAAATTAAGTAAATGTGAACAGGCCCTAAAAGAATCATCGTTGACATCACCATTGTACATGTGTCGCTTTATTATAAAAAAATTCCCTCCTAAACTATTTGTGACATCATTCTTTTCTTTTCTTTTTTTTTCCTTTTCTTTTCAAGGTAAAACTAAAGTTTGAAAATGATCAATTAATTATTTAATTACATGTTTATAAAAGATGACTGATTACACAATTTTCTATACAGTAAAAATAATTGTTGGATGGTCTCTCTCACATTTCTATTTCATGCATTTTATTTGTGATAGTAGAATTTGGATTATTTTTCTCTTTTTATTAATTATTCAAATTTTCTATACTAAATAACTAACGAATGCTAATATTTGATTATTTTTATTATAACTATCGCTATGAAGTTAAGGAATATTTTTTTCAATAGCTGGTTCCTACAGGCGCCTGTACGGTGCAACGTACAGTCGTTTTGTAGGAAAGAACATGATATATAAAAGTAATGAACATATAGTTATAGTGAAAAGAACATACTATTAAAATGTAATGAACATATACCTAAAGTAAAAATAACATACTATTAAAAGGTAATGAACATATACCTAGAGTGAAAAGAACATACTTGCACTTAAAAAATAAATAAAAAGAACATATGTTTATATTCTTTGATCAGTCAGTGTAATGTACTTTATTTGCAACATAATGATCATTACTTAATGTGAAATGTTTATTTAAATTTGTCTTCAAATTAGGGTGGTTATATATAGATAAAGTTTATTACATAATATTATCATGTTCTTTATTAATACTGCACATGTTCTTTAGATATGAAAAAAAATATAAAATTGGATGTTCGTTACAAAACAACTATATGTTCTTTACAAAATAACTGTATGCTCTTTACAAAATAGTTACATGTTCTTTTTGCATTTTTTGGCTGTATCAAGCAAGGTATAGCCGCATGCACCTAAAAATTTTCATATTTTTTTAAGCTTAATTAATCTACGAAAGAGATTGATCGCGATTATATATTGCACACATACAAGTATTAACCTAGTATATACTAAAAGACACGCCAACAATTACACTTGTCATCTTCGAATGTGCCCTTAGTTACATTTCTTATTTTTTTAAAAAATCTATTAATTAAGGAAACAAAAATTTTACATAAATAATATTTTTTTTATTCATATTCCATATGAACACATAGTAATAAATATATTTTAAATAAAAAAATGTCACAAATCTTTCTAAATAATTAATTTATTAGTATAAACCAAAAACAAAAATTTTAAAATAATTTGTGACCTGTTTTATAATAAGAAAAAATATTGGTTAGATTTTTAGCCTACTTTAGTTTTAGTTGTGTATTTTAAGCTACAATTAAAAATTGCAAATATCAAATCAATAATTTACTATACCTTAACTAATTTATGATTATAATATTTTTTAATCAATAATCTATAACTAGTAGTTATATATAGGTCACCGTACATATCACGAGATCTAACTAGTAATGTAAAAAAAGTCAAATATGTCAAATGTTTTACGAAGTATAGATAAGTACTAAAATATAACGTATATGTTGGAAATAGAAGTGGAAGTAGTACGTGATGGGTTGCAAGGATGAAATTATTATTGCATGAAGTGAATTACATTGCATGGCTACTCCTACTCTTATTTATAGTAGGTGTAAGTCGGTTCTTTCCACCGACATATTACTATAACTTTACTCTAGATCTTTCTAGGTGACTTAACATTATCTAGAACTTCCCTCTAGGCTAGATTTTTTCTTAGATTTTTCCTAGATATTTTCTTAAGCCTATTCTAGAATATTGTAAAATAGCTTTAACTAGAAATTACAAGATTTTTCTAGATTAGCTATTAGCTTATTTTTAACAGTATAGAACTGTAGATTATTTAATTATAGCATAATTTTATACGTGACACTGTAAGTGAAATAGCTACTTGTAAAGTGGCCATATGATTGAAGAGAGGAATGATATATTGATCATTTTATAAATTTTTTTCAAGGGCGAAAAGCATTAAAACTGGAAGATAAGAATAATCCTAGGCGGATATCTATGAAACCGTCTCTTGAGAATGCTGCAAAGAATGGCGACATAGGGTTCCTTAAGCAATTACGAGCCTTAGAAATTGAACATGGCAACTATTTTGTTGGGCAAAACTTAAGCGGAGATAATATACTTCACATAGCCATCAGATCAGAGCAATATGAATTTATAGAACAAGTTACAAAGAAGTTGTTGCCAAGATCAATAATTGATAAGCTGATAAATCAGAGGAACAACAACGGAGACACCCTTTTTCATGTTGCAGCTGAGGTTGGCAACGAACGCATTTTCAAGCTGCTCCTTGAAATTCAGATGGCAACACACCCTTACTGGTTGTACATTTCCATGGTAACGAACACCTGAAAAAATCTATACCTGGTATGGAAATTGAATCTCAAATGAATATATCAGCTGATTTTGACGTCGACTATAATTTTATAGAAATGCTGGTAAATCAAGATAGTATTGTGTCATGTTGGGCAGACGGAGGAGGTTTGACCCCGCTGCATAGAGCTGCTTTTATCACCAACGTGAATTTTGTTAATCTGAGAGTCATTAAAAAGATACTTAAATGCTGCCCAGAGTCTGCAATGGAGGTTGACAAAAATTCTGGAAAAACCATCTTACATTTTTTGATAAATAGGGTATACAGCTACCAACAAGGCAAACAGCTGATGCAAATTCCACAAATTGGTCCCCTTAAGGATGTCAAGGATCTCCAAGAAAACACACCATCAGATTTAGCTCAGAAATCCAACTTTAAAATGGCGCAACTGCTATCGGTTTATCCACTTCAGCATCTCACGTTCAACAACTAGTTCCTTTTGATCAGGTTAGCTAGCTTTTTCGAGTACTCGTATTATTTTGGTTTCAACATTGGTCTTTTTTTTTAATTTTTTTTAATATATATATTTTTTTACCGGGCAAATAGGTCATTCGGGTCGAGTCTGGGTCAGGTCACTTTTGGGTTGGGTCATTTCGGGTCAACTAACATTCGGTTCGGGTATGGATCGGGTCGGGTCGATTCAGGCTTAGGGTATGACTCGGGTCAAGTATTAGGTCGAGTTCAGATCGGGTCAATTTCGGATCGTGTCAAGTATGTTCAGGTTAGGTCAAAATCTGGTCAGATCATGTTCGGGTTGTTTTATTTGTGGATCAAGCTCAATTCAAAAATTTCATAAGGAGTATATATTTTGTTATTGTTATAATCAAACTATTAATTTAGTTTATGAGCTTTTTCTACGGTTGAAGATAAACAATTTGAGTTATTTTTGGCACAAGACATTTATAGTTCAATTATAAGGTAATTTTAGTTCGGGACATTTCGGGTATTGGGTCTGTTGGGGTCAATTACGAGTATCAGATTAGTTCGGGTCAAACACTTCTAATCGAGTCAACTTCAAGTCGGGTCAGTTCGGGTGTCGGGTCATAATCGGGTCAACTCCATTTTTAGGTCATGTCGGGTTAATTTAGGGTTTTGGGTTGTTTTGGGAACATGGGTCGGGTCATTCGGGTCGGCTCATCGGGTATGGGTCAGGATTGCCAAGTCTGATTTCCATATACTCCCTCCGTGTTTTAATAAGTGTTACATTTACCAAATCCGGTCGTACATTAATAAGTGTTACGCTTCCTTTTTTGGCAAAAAGATACATTAAAATATGCTAAATTCAATTAAACACAAGGTTTCATTCTCATTGATGTACATGCAAGCATATATAATACAAGCTAACCCTATGAACATCGGATTAGGAAATTACCAAAAAGATAAATATCAAAAGATATCTTAGCACAAAATATGCTAAGTAAATATATCCTAAAATTCCCTAAAATATATCCTCAATACCCCCCCTCAATTTGGAGCATGTGGATCAAACGTGCCCAACTTGGAAAGGAGATAATCAAACTGCGACTTCCCAAGAGCTTTGATGAAAATGTCCGCTAATTGCGTAGTTGTTGGAACATAAGATGGAGAAATCAAGCCGTCTACAATAGCATCACGAACAAAATGACAGTCGATCTCAATGTGCTTCGTGCACTCATGAAAAACTGAGTTTTTAGCAATATGTAGTGCCGACTGACTATCACAAAATAACGGAATCGCCTTAGGGTGATTCACCCCTAGACTCAATAATAGAGCCTTCAACCACTTTAACTCGCAAGTAGCAGAATACATTGACATGTACTCGGCCTCAGATGAAGATGTAGCAACTGTAGGTTGCTTCTAGCTTGGTCTTCCAAGAAATAGGAGAATGACCCAAAAATACCAGCCACCCTGTCAATGATCTCCGAGTGATTGGACATGCCGCCCAATCTGAATCACACCAACCCCGCAGAGTTAGTTCATTGTGTGCACTCAACAAAATTCCCTGACCGGGGTAACCTTCAAATATCGAACGACTCGCAGAGCCGCCTCTCAATGCTCACTACGGGGTTGTTGCATACACTGTGAGAGGATGTGCACAGAATAGGCAAGATCCAATCAAGTGACTGAAAGATAAATTAATCGTCCTACAAGACGATAATAGGACTCGGGATTAGCCATCAATTCGCCCGTTACAAGACCAAGCTTGTGATTTTGCTACATAGGAAACCCACACGGTTTAGCCCCCAACAATCCAGCCTCAGAAATAATATCCAAGGTGTACTTTCTTTGGCACAAAAACAAACCAGAAGGATTACGAGCAACCTCGATGCCCAAAAAATATTTCAAAGGACCCAGGTCCTTCATCTTAAAACAATCACACAAATAAGACTTGAACACCACCAACGCATCGCAATTATTCCCAGAAATAATAAGATCAACAACATACACCAAAACATTAATTTGAATATCCCTTTTAAAGTACGTGAAAAGAGAATAATCAGAATAAGATTGTGTAAAACCATACCCTTTCAAAATAGTAGTGAGCTTTGCATACCAACACCTTGGAGCCTGTTTCAAACCGTACAAATACTTCCTCAAACAACACACCAATGAAGAATCCGAGCTCTCAAAACCTGGAGGCAATTTTATGTATGCCTCCTCATCAAAATCACCATGTAAAAAAGGCATTGTGAACATCCATCTGATGCAGTTCCCAATTCTTAGATGCTGCAATTGCAAGAAATGCCCAAACTGTAGTCATTTTTGCTACTGTAGCAAAAGTTTCACTGTAATCAATGCCTTCCCGCTGATGATTTCCAAATATAACAAGTCGAGACTTTAACCTCTCAACATCACCATTAGACAAATATTTTATCTTATACACCCATTGACTCCCTAGAGCTTTCTTGCCGGGGGGATCGGAAATTGCTCTAAGGACCAAGTACCATTGTCCTCTAAAGCATGTATCTCTTCTTTCATAGACCTTCTCCAACCCTCATATTGCATAGCCTCTTTGAAGGATTTTGGATCCTTTCCCTGAACAACTGCTGCAATAAACTTCCGATAATTGAAAGAAAACTTGTAACAATTTATATAATGTGCTAAAAGATATATATGGTGTACATTAAGGAGGATTCAGAGACGAAGAGGACGGAGATGGACTATTAGTACAAACGGAATAAGTCCCAGAACCATGAAGCTTGACCGATGGAATTTTCTCGCGAAACCCCTTTCCTAAGGCCTCAATACCTTGTTCATGCTCGGTGGTGGGTGGCGGAGAAGCAGTAGCAGCACTGCTAGGCTGCTCGGGGGGGGAACACGGCACTGCCTAGCTGCTGCACGCCTGAATTACCGTGCTAGGCAGTGGGATCCGCAACCAGGTTGTGGCTTGGATCAGTCTCCCGCAGCCTGGTTTCGGACTGGGTTGTGTCTCGCAGAACAGACTGTTGGGCAGGCTGGTTCGTAGCCTGGTCGCGGCTGGGATCATCGTCCCACGGCCTGGTCGCGGCCAGGTCTGTGTGAGGCGCGGCATGACCCGTGTCCCCTTGATCATTAAGTAATAAATCAGCATTTGTATCCCCTGTGTAAATCTCGTTCTCATGAAGCATTTCACACCCCAAAAAATCATCATGAACTTCATTGCTTTGACCAAATTCCATGGACACTATATTCACATCCTCCGGGCTACCAAACGGAAATATACCCTCTACAAACTTGACATCTCGAGAGACAAAAAAAAACTTTCAAATCAAGATCGTACAATTGCCACCACTTCTTCCCAAAAGGATACTCCAAAAAAACACATTTTCTAGCTACTCCGACTCGCAAATTTGTCCCTGTTGGTTTTCTGTGAGCAAAACAAAGACATCTAAAGGTACGAATGACATCAAAAGACGGGGTTTTATTGAACAAGATTTCGAATGGAGTTTTGTTTTGTAACAAAGGAGTGGGTGTTAGATTAATTAGGTGAACTGTGGTCAAAACGCACTCCCCCCAAAAATAAATAGGCAAGCTACCTTGAAACCTTAATGCTCTCCCTACCTCAAGAATATGTTTGTGTTTTCTCTCAACCCTCCCGTTTTGTTGTGGAGTTCCCACACAAGAGGTTTGAAAAATAATTCCAGTACCATGAAAATAATCAAGCAACAAATTAAACTCCGTACCATTATCACTTTGCACAATTTTAATAGTTTGGGAAAATTGCCTATCAACCATTGCAACAAAAGACAAAAACATTCGAAAAACTTCGGTTTTATCAACCAACAAATAAATCCAAACCGCCTTAGAATAATCATCCACAATAGTAAAAAAATAACGAGCTCCACACGACGAAGCATGTCGATATAGATCCCACAAATCACAATGTATTTTCTCAAAAATCCTAGAAGCTCTACTGTCACTTAAAGGAAATTTGTCTCTACGATGTTTAGCACGCATACACACTTCACACCCCTTATCAAGACTCTCTTTATTACTACTAACATGAGGAAGCAACTTAACTACTTTATCGGAAGGATGACCCATACGACGATGCCAAAATTCCAAACTTAAGGTTACTTCAACACCGACATGGTTCATCGTATCCGAAGTGCTAAAATAATATAGTTTGTCTCTCCTAGCTCCCGTTCCAATCTGCTCCTTCGTTTGGTCCTGTATAGCACACATATAAGGGTTAAATTGGACAGTACAATTAAGATCATCAGAAAGTTGTGATGCAGATAACAAATTACAACTCAAGTGTGGAACATAAAGAACTGTGGTTAGAACGAGTAATCTTGTCGGATAATCAAACCAACCCAATTAATGAAGCAACCACAGTATCTCCGTTAGGTAAACCAACGGGACACTCAAAATTTTTTGTATCAAACAACCAAGCCTTTTCTCGTGTAACATGGTGTGTAGCCCCTGTGTCAATAATCCAAGAAGAAACATCAAACTTACCATTCAAGAGATTTTCAAAAACTTTGGCATTACAAAACAAACCCGTACTTGTTTTCCATTGTTCGCTTGAAAACACTTGACCTTGAGAGGAAGTATTCGAACCCGAGACAGCATTAGCACGTGCCGGCCCTTGACTACGATCACTAGAGGACTTCCCCCCTGGCTACCATCACCCATGGTAGGAGGATAACCATGTAGCTCAAAACACTTGGCCCCAATATGACTCCTTTTCTTGTGATGGTTACACACTTTGTCCGACCAACAACTCGATGTCTCGTGACCCACCTTCTCACACTTGCCACAAACAGATGCCGACCCTTCTCAACCACGACTTCCAGCTCCTGTACGGACAGCAAACCCCACGGCAGGAGGCGGGTCCTCTCGAACACGATCAAAGCCACACACAAGCTCTTCTTGCAAAACCTGTTGATAGGCTTTGTTCAACGTAGGTAAGGGATCTTGAGCCAAAATATTGGACCTTGTTTGAGCATAATACTCAGAACAAAGACCAAGCAGAAACTGTTGCAGTCGATCATCCTCACGGCGTTTTTCATGTTGTCGACTAATATCACAAACACACTTTCCACATTTGCAATTAATTAAAGGTTCAAGCTTAGCAATTTCATCCCACAAGACCTTTGATTTACCAAAATAAATTGCAACAGACATATTTTTAGGTTGTTCACAACGATTAATTTGAGCTTTTAATTGTTGAATACGAGGACCGTATACCACACAAAAACATTCATGTAAATCATCCCACAAACGCTTAGCATTGTCATAATTGGAAAGCATAGATTTTACCTCCGGATCGATCGTGTTCATGAGCCACGACACAAGCATACATTGCACCACAACCCAATCATCCTTGGTTGCGGGCAGCACAAAATCGGTGATGGTTCCATCCAAGAACCCAAATTTTCGATGAGAAGACAAAGCAACATATATTGCATGCGCCCAAGCATCAAAGTTGTCCAATTTTAATCGAATCGGCGTGATAAAATCACCCGGTCTATCATGTGCTCCTAAATAAAAAGGTGAATTGGTTTCAATTTTTGGTGGTGGTGGCGGTGGTAGAGTATCACCGCCAGCCATGGCTGTGTTTTATGAGAAAAAAAATAACCTTACTCTTATACCATGCTAAATTCAATCAAACACAAGGCTTCATTCTCATTGATGTTCACGCAAGCATATATAATACAAGCTAACTCTATGAACATCGGATTAGGAAACTACCAAAAAGATAAATATCAAAAGATATCTTAGCACAAAATATGCTAAGTAAATATATCCTAATATTCCCTAAAATATATCCTCAATAAAATATTATATCTCTCTCCTCTCATGGTCTCCACCCAAACCCACTACTACTTTTTTTATTATATCTTTCCTCTCACATTCATTAGTTTTTAATAAACAATTAACTCCACTATCTTTCTTTAACAATTTTTTAATACTCTAACTACCCCACTTACCTCTCATTTTATTTAAGTCAATTAATTTGCCTTAAATTATGTGCCGGTCAAACTTTAACACTCAAAAAAACATAGAGGGAGTAATTGTTTTGGTAACATTATTATAGCTTATATTTTAGTTCTTTCTAAAATTATGTATTGGTGAATTATTACTACCTCCGTTTCATATTATTTACATCTTTGGAATATATAAATCTCACCAATAATACTCTAAAGTTGCAAATAATACGAAAGTGATGAAGAAATATTATTAACATTCAAAAAAATTTATTTTTGATAAAAGATGAAGAACAAGACATTGGAAGATTATGAAGTAATCGACGGGGTAAATATCCAGATAATAAGGGAGAACATATCCAAGTTTGGAATAAATTTTTTGCAAAAAGACTTGTGTGGACCTGGTCCACAATAATATTATTGTAGACCCGAGGTCTATACACACGCAACTGACATTATATTGAACATAGTGACCATTATTTTTAACATAGTAACCTTATTTTTAACCTAGTAACCTTTATTAAAACTACTACAACGTTTAATAATATTGTGAACTTGAAATATGACGCTATTACCCTAATTTTAACATAGTGGCCTTTATTATTCATATTGATCAGTATATAAAATATTTTATTACAAAAATAACCACTTAGGCATATATATTACCAAAATAAATTTTTATTTCAATATAGTGACCTTTTTTTTAATTATAGTGACCCTTTTTTTTATTAATAAAACAACCATACTTTCTCTAATGTTAGCGGTCCACAATAAATTAGTGTGAACCAGATCCATTTAAGAATTTGTAAATTTTTTGTCCTCACGAGATTCCAAGAGAAGAAATGTGCTACATAACTTGATGCGGTTAGAGCGGAGAACTCCTATCGAATATGATGAATATTTGGATTTCATCATACAGGTTATTAGCACATATCCGACACTTAGTGCTCAAACAGACATTTATGGAGACACTCCAATTCATGTTCTCATGCAAAATTCTTACGATACAAAGATTTATCGTGGCACTACTCAATCCTTAAATGTTTATGATAAGGATAATGTTACGTATACTAAATCATCTCTTCCATATGAGTTACTAGTACCATGCGTGTCAACTTTTGTTAGAGCTAAAGCCAATCATGCGGAAATTATAAGTACAAAAGAGGAGGATCGTTGTCATTTTGAGTATAATATGCCATTGTTGGTACAGAACATGGACGGAAACACACCTCTTCATGAAGCACTCAGAGCAAATCATATTCTACCTGCTTTTTTATTAATACGTTTGTATTCAAAAAGTAGCAGAACAGCTTTTTGGAACGAGTAACAAACGTAAGGAAACGATTCTCCATCTTCTAGTAGGATGCTCCTTGGGTAAGTATCTATTCCACTCCCTCTCACCCAATAAAGTTATGTTTTTCATAAAACTGCATATATATTGTTAGTTGTTTTTTTAATGCATTTCGGTATGTAACAATCATAGTAAACAAGTAAATTACTTATTACGGAGTATTTGGTAGCCATCCCCTTTTTTTCCTCTGTTCGATACCAATCCTAAAGTAAGATTGGCCCTAAATCTTAAGATTCGCCCTAAATCTTAAGATTTGAGATGACATCATCATTTTCTAATTTTGCGGTCTTAAGACAAGACTTTATTATTTTAAAAGATTTATGAAGTTTGGTCTTAATAAAATCTGAAGTGGAATATTGAAAATTCAAGACACAACTTCAGACTCAATTTAGCACTCAATTATTATTATTTTTTTATTTCTAAAAAATTTTAATAATTTAATTTATATGTAAAAAATGAGTTAGAGCGATTGAAGAGATCAGATAAATTTCATCGAGTCTTAAGAAGTCTTACATAATTATAAATTAGAAAAATAATTAAATTTAATCTAAAAAACTGATTTGGCAATGAATTAAAATCTTAAGCTGAGACTGTGCTAATCTTGCAGAGTAATAACTAACAACGGTATGGTTCTTAATTAATTAGTTTACCAATTTTAGCCCCAAAACACTTCTTTATTAGTAACACAAAAAAATTCAGCTTTGCTGTCAGCCTGTCAATCAATATACATCCTTTTTTTTTTTTTTAACTCAACTAGAGACCTGTTTTGTCCTCCTTATTTTCACTTATCTTAGGTATGATAAGTTTAATTTAGAAAGAATAAATTTTGATAAGGGTTACCAATTACAACTAATTAAATTTTTTTTTTAATAAGTTAAGATAAATTAAGATAAGGTTAGATTAGTTCAATAAAATGAAAATTAGGTGAATAGAATACACACTAGGACAGGTCATGTGCTTTTAGCCTTTCACGACAATTTTATCATATAAAAAACAACGTGGACAAAAACCAAAATACAATATTTTAACATATTTCGTACTTTGTATGTATATATATAACGAAAGTGTTGATTAAACCATTAGTATATTAGAACTACATCTTACGACCATACGAGTGTTTAAAAAATTCATAGTAAATGAGAATCATTTTTTTATTTATTTATCTATATAACTATTTTAAAATTATGTATTACATCCAATGAGTAGGATCGGAATAAAAACATAATTTTAATGATATATGATCGCTTTTTTTATTATTATTATTATATAATAAATTATATTTTAAAAATTATAAAATCAACATATATTTTAAAATAGACAATGTAACAAAGCCAAAAAAGTCATATTTATAAGTTACATATTAGACTAAAAATTAAGTCAAAGATAGTATAAGAATAGTGCAAAATCTCAAGTGACGCACATAAAAAAAAAATGGAGGGAGTATTTGATTTATTTACTTCATTTTCTTAAGAGTATATGTATACTATTTTGCACGCATTTTTTTGGCCTAATCAAACATGATGGATTCAGTGGAGTGGCGGCGTGATGTGATAAAGCAAGTACATGATGAAAATGTAGAGGCAGCAAACAGCCAAGACCAGGATGGACTAACCCAGAAGCATCGAAAAGAGTTGACAATAATGGTCGGACGCTCTGGCACATGTTAGTAAACCAGCCACCATCCATGACGAAGGAACTTATTAGTGGCATTGGAGAAAAAGCGCATTTGATTAAGCTGTTGGAGATCCAAGACAAGGAGGGGAAAACGCCATTGCATCTGGCACTGGAATCTCGACGCTTTACCCAGGCAGAGCATTTTCTGATGTGTTCAGATAAACGGTACATGAGGAATCTTCTAGAAATAGAAGATGGAAATGGTATTACTTCCGGCGACCTGATAGCTTCGATTCGACACCTTCCACAAGATGTAAGTGCATCTATAGTTTTATACTATGTTTTTTTTTTTTTTTTGAATTTTTTTTATTTTCATAATTCATTTCCAAATATCACATGGTGTTTTGGTCCCTTTGCTTATAAAAAAAAGGTTATTTTTTCCATTTAAGAAAAATAAACACCACAACAGTTTCAATAGAGATTAGAGCAAGAAGATGAAGAATCTCATGAGCACCATCAATGTTGAAATCAATAGAGGAAAGAAATCACACAAACTCCTTCAATGGTGAAATCCATTGAAGCGGCTTGATGTAGGAAACAAATTAAAGAAGATGAAGGTGGTTAGCTGGGTGGGAAATGAAGGAAGGAGGAGGAAGAAACCATGGAATTAGGTCATGAACTAACGACTACAAGGAAGATGATGATGTTTTTCTATTTTTCAAAATGCATTTATATTTACAATATTGCCACCAATCAAGATACACGGATCCTTTTATCTCTAAAAGAAACTTAGGCATCCTCTTATAATTTATTACTTGGATTATCTACAAGAATAACAAACTCGCATTGGATCAATTCCATTTGATGCAGTTGGAATATCTTTTCAATGGGGATCTTGAAGAATTGATGGGTTACCGAAGTGTGTATGGTATTTCTACGGAAGAGATGAAAGACTATGTGAACACGATAATGGGTGTAATAGCAGCACTTTTGACAACAATAACTTTCACAGCAGCATTCACCGTTCCAGGTGAAACAGTCCAAGATGATAAAGATGTCAAAGATAAACATGCTGTAGGGACTCCACTTCTTATAAAGTCGGTAGCTTTCCAGGCTTTTATGTTCTTTGACATATTGACAATGTGCCTCTCAACAATGGTCTTGTTTTGTCTTCTTTGGATCTTCGCTACCGGAAGTAAACGCAAGTCGGTGATATTAATGGATTTTACTGCTCTTAATTTCATTCTACACAACTCTTGTGTCTTTCATGGCAGGAACCCTGGATTGCTATCTACACTTTGGTAATGTGCTTGTCGTTGACAGTGGCGGACCCAGGAATTTCCGACTGGTGAGTCACAATTGATAACCAAATATGTAAAAAGAAAAAAATTACCAAAATTCCCAAGAAAAATTATTTACAAAGATCATCTAAATAGAAAATTGACAAGATTACAGTACTAACTAATAATTAACAAGCTTAAAATTGACAAGACTAAAATTAACAAACTAATAATTAACAAGCTAATAATTGACAACATGACAAGCTTAGCTCTCTAATAATTAACAAACTAATAATTGACAAGATTAAAATTTGTACAAGCATTAGGTTCACATTTCATCAAAAACCCAACAACATTAACAAAAGGTTCAAAGTTAGT